CTCTGGAGGACCATAGAACCTCCCAGAAGTTGGTAAGCAGGAAGGGATGGATACCTAATATGCATGTTTATGGGAGTCTTGCCAATCCCAGGTTTGGAGGCCCTGGTAGAGTGGTAGACTGGCCCATAAATATGGGAGAGTCCGGCTGACAGAAGAGTTGGGTAGAAGATGAGTGCTGCGGGGACTGTCGGTGCCTGGGAGGGGTCCCCTAGGCCTGGGCTGGCTCAGGAGGATACATCCAGCAGTGCAGCATGAATGGGATTGAGACCTGGAGCAAAGAGGACAGAGGGAGTACATCAGCTCCCTGGGATATACAAGGAGAAAGACTGCCACATGTAGCAAGCTTTAAAGGACAGCGCTGGGCTTAAATCTTTATCCTTGTTCTGGGAGATCTTCTGAGCAGCCAGGAGGGCTGGCAGTGTCTGTAGGCTATGGAGATGGGAGCAGTTCTACATGGGAGAGAGAAGACATCTCTGTATGTGGTTACAAGAAGCTAAGCTGATTTTTGAGGGGCTGCTAGTTCCTCGCCCACAAACGGCTGTTGCTACTGATCCGCAAAGACTGATGACTTTCAAGGAAAAGAACAGTCCAGGATATGTTTTTGTACATAGGAAGGAAGTTGTCCCTCCCTTTGTTGATTCAAGCCAAACTGGGCATGCCATAATCCCCGTTTCTCTATCCAAGTTATTTCCCCTAATAAAATAACAAAACCAAGCCCATGGACCAGGGGCAGACTGACAACTCATGGGGCCCCCGGGCAATAGGGGATCATGGGGCCCCTGTGTCCTTGCCCAAACTCAAAAAAGCCTATGAAAAAGGTACCAGGGGCATCTCATGGTGCCCCCTACTGACCCCAGGCCCTCGGGCAGTGCCCGAGTTTCCAAATGGTCAGTCCGCCCCTGCCATGGACTTGTTACTGTCTCCTAGATGCAAGTCTGTGTGAAAGATACCTGTTGCCTAGCTGTGCAGAGCTTAGGCGTACCTATAACACAGTGGCCCTCACAAGGGTAGCCCTACATCCATAACGCAGGTTTGGTCCAGAACTCAGGGAGCCAACTGCTGTGAAAGAAAGTCAGCGCACCTTCCCCCCACTACTGGAGGACCCTGCAGCCAAGCTGGGTACTATGCTTCATAATTGGCTGTTATGTACTTTTCACTAGTTAACATTTACCCATAGCAACTTCAATCCTCTTCCTACTTGTCTTGCTGAATTAAGCTTTAGTAGTGGCTTTTCTTCATACCCCATAGTGCTATATAGACCCTGTTCTTCTGATACGCCAAAATCTACCGTGCACCTCTTTGAATAACTTCAAACCAGGCTCAAAAAATTTAAAAGCTTTACTGAAGGTGCTTAACCCCCCCTGGTGGTATTCCCAAGTGTAGCTTGGGGTAAACTTTCAGTACCAGAAGCGTAAACCCTGAGCTATACTCGGGAATACCCTGCAGCGTTGCTCTGGGATCCCTCCAGCGTTTACCTTGTCCTTCACTCCCGCGATGTCCCCCCTGCAGCGTCCCTGGCCATCTCGTCCGCCCGATGCCGGCATCCGTCTTTCGGATTCCGTTTCAGCTGCGAGTGTTGGGACGTACGGGGGACAGAACCGGCGGGAAATTCAAAAATGTAAAAATTTGACATTCACTCAATACACTAAAATCTGATAGTGTTACATTACTGTATCAAACCATTTCACATACATTTTGTCCCGAGTGCTTTGTCCGGCGCCCTGCCTGTATTCTGACTGTTCTTTCTGCCTGGAAACTGAGAAACGTCCATGGCGTCCAAAAAGCGTCCCTTTAAGTCAAAAGCGGTTTTTACACCAGAACAGCAATAGTAAATCAGAACCACTTGCAGAATTGAGTGATAATGATTCGTGGGGGAAATTCGTCATCAGACACTGAAAACGATTTTGCGACTGAGCTCAGCGATGTGCGAACTTGGCGCTATATTTCAAATTTCAGTGTTTTTGGTTTGATTACATTATTGAATTAAATTTATTATTATTATATTCTTATTATTTATGATTATTTATTATATTATAATTCATGTTTCAAATTTTAACATACCCAGGATGTTTACTAGAATCTGACAGATTTCAGTGAGTTATTCCTAAGAATTACAGGCCTACAATAAAAATACAACATATTTCCATTGAAAATAATGTGCCGCTTTGAGCACAGAAATACTGACATAATCACACCGCTAGGGAGGTTAAAAGAGTTCAAAATAACATGAAGTGCAAATGATTCAACCTAGCTGTCGAACTGTATCTGCCCAGGCATTCCTGTCACAGGCATGAGTACACATATGGAAATTCCCATAGAACGGTAGTTGTCTGGTAGCCCTGTGTTCCGAGGTAGATTCTTCATAGCCACTACAGTCCATGGCAGCAAGCACGAGTCACAAGAGTGGGCTCTCTGTGGGTCTCATTCCCCCTTTTCATAGCACACTGGGTATGGAAGGCAGGACCTAAAAGCCCAGGAGAGGAGACCCCTTGTTAACCCCTTCTTTACCTGGGCAGAATAAATCACTGACTTAAAACAAAACCCAACTTGTAGGCATCCTATCTACAAAACAGTAACAGTCAAGCAGTGGAAAACGATGGCTAGAGAACAGACTTTTGAATCTGTGTGAGAGACACTTTAGGGTGTAAAAAAACTTTGCATTGCTGTTCATCTACTGAAACCTCTTGCAATTTTTTTATGTGGGAAAGGGGGCAAAATCTAAATTTTCTCAGGCTATATTCTCTTCAGTTTGAATGTGTGAATGTGAAATATACCACATTATGGCTACTAGATGGCGCTGACTATCATAGGAAATAAGTATGCACCTCAGCCCCATCTAGTGGCCATAATGGAGTATGTTCCGCATTCACACATTTGAAATGCAGACAAAATAGCTTGAGAACAATCAAATTTTCCCCATTCAAGCAAAATTAATTTAAATGCAGTTTCACTGGATACACAGCTATGCAGATCTTTAATAAATACAGCCCTTGATGTAACAAAATTGCAGCTAATTGGCTGAACCAATTCCAAGAACTACAATTTGCCACACATGATCAACTAACAGACTTCAATGCTCATAAATGCAAACGCCAATAAACTGTGATCAATTCCACACTAAAACCTAAAAAAGTTGAAATATTCCTCGAAATATAAATAAGTTGTTTTTGCTCTAATTGTTCTAGCTGAGGTCAGAAGGTGAAAGCGGCATCCGATTGGTTGCTTTGAACTAGTATGCCCCCCTCCCCTCCCTGAAACTTTTTGAATCCCTGTGTTTTAGTTGAACTTCTTTCTTTGTATGGAATTTTATGTAGAATTGTTTCAATATGTCGGTGGCTCGAACACAAAACCCGAGAGGTAAGCCAAATGGAACAGTATGTCCCTTTGCAGGGGATTGAGAAAGATTCAAAGCACCCCATTGTCCGCATGACGCGCTGGGCCGTAAACTATTTATATTTATTATGCCAAGATCCCAGCAATGTGCTTTTCCGGGAAAATGAAGTCGGTGTTTTCTTGCAAAGTCCTGTACCATATGTGAAGCAGAGCAGAGACTTCTCTTCCCGAGAAATGAAGATTGCTGTCTATCGATGTAGCAATTATGATATACAAGCTCTTCAAGCACTTGAAAACCCTCTCTGTCCTGCAGTTATCTTATTACAAAGCACAGCTGAAAGTGAACTTCACCGTAAAAAGCTAATTGGTCTCTTCTAGTGCATTAAAAGTAAACTGCGCTGATACAGAGATTGTCAACTGCTCAAAACATTCATAAATCCTAAAGTACCTAGAGCAGCCTTTCTTAACCATTAGCCCTAAAAAGAACCCCTACAGAAATTTCAGGTCTCCGGGAACCCCTTCGATAACCAATTCATTGGGTGTGAGTGAGAAAAAATGCCACTTACATTGGTGACCAATGGGAAGATTGAACCCTCTCATCATATCACGATTCGACTACTGCAACTCCCTCCTCACTGGCCTGCCTCGCCGCTGGCTATCCCCGCTTCAGTCCATCCTGAATACGGCTGCCAGACTCATTCACCTTTCCAACCGCTCCATCTCCGCCACCCCCCTCTGCCAATCCCTCCACTGGCTTCCGATTGCGCAACGGATCAAATTCAAAATCCTAACACTGACGTACAAAGCTGTCCACCATACTGCCCCGAACTACATCACTGACCTAATATCCAAGTACCACCCAACACGCACACTCCGCTCCTCACAAGACCTCCTTCTCTCTAGTTCCCTGGTCTCCTCCTCCCATGGCCGCCTCCAGGACTTCTCCAGGGTGTCACCCATCCTCTGGAACTCCCTGCCCCAACCCATCAGATTATCACCTACTCTCCTCTCCTTTAGGCGCACCCTGAAAACCCATCTCTTCAGGGAAGCCTACCCCACCCCCTGCTAACCTGCCGACCTCCTCCACTCTTCCTACCACTCCATCCCCCACAGCTCCTGTACCACCATCCCCTCCCTCCTAGATTGTAAGCTCCAAGGAGCAGGGCCCTCGATCCCCTCATGTTTTGCATTGTATTGGTATTGTTCTGTCACATGTTCTGTCCCCCTTTGTAATGTACAGCGCCGAGCGAACCATTGGCGCTTTATAAACACTGTATAATAATAATAATAACCCTTGCATTGTTGGTCAGTGAGAAGATTGCCCCCTTACATTGCTGGCCAGTGGGAAAATTGCCTCCCTTACAGTGGTGGTCAGAATGCCACCCTTACAGACAGATCATTGTTGTCATACAGCTAGTTCTGCCAAGTGGCATTGGCGCCAGGGCTAGGCAGGCACCATCAAATAGGAGGTCAATCAACAGCTCTAAGAGGGCCCCTTTAGATTGGTGGTCAGTGGAAGAGGGCTGCCTAGAATGGTTGTCAGTGAGAAAAATGCCCCCTACATTGGTGGTCAGTGAAAGAGGACCCCCTTTAGAATGGTGGTCAGTGGGAGGAATACTACTTACATTGATAGTCAGTGGAAGAGGGACCCCTTTAGAATGCTGGTGAATGGTAAGAATGCTTCTAACATTGCTGGTCAGTGGGAAGAATGCACCTTACATTGGTGGTCAGTGGGAAGAATGCTCCTTACATTGGTGGTCAGTGGAAAAGAATGCACCTTACATTGGTGGTTAGTGGAAAGAATGCCCCTTACATTGCTGGTCAGTAGGAAGAATGTTCCTTCCATTGGTGGCATTGGTTGTTAGTGGGAAGAATGTCCCTTACATTGGTTGTTAATGGAAAAAATGCCCCTTTCATTGCTGGTCAGTGGGAAGAATGCTCCTTACATTGGTGGTCAATGGGAAGAATACCCCTTAGATTAGTGGTCAGTGGGAAGAATACCGATTACATTGGTGGCCAGTGGGAAGAATGCTCCTTACATTCGTGATGAGTGGAAAGAATGTTCCTTACATTGGTGGCGAGTGGGAAAATTGTCCCCTTACATTGGTGGCCAGTGGGAAAATCGCCCTCTTACATTGATGGCCAGTGGGAAAAATGCCCCTTACATTGGTTTCCAGTGGGGAAAATGTCACTTACATTGTGGCTAGTGAAACGATTGCCCCCTTACATTGGTGACCAGTGGGAAAATCGCCCCTTACATTGATGGTCAGTGGGAAAATTGCCCTTTACGTTGGTGACCATTGGGAAGATTGCACCCTTGCATTGGTAGCCAGTAGGAAAAATGCCACTTAAGCTGCTGGCCAATGGGAAGATTGCCCCCTTACATTGGTGGCCAGTGGGAAAAATTACCATTACATTGGGGGGGGATGTGGGAAAATTGCCCCTCTTACAGTGGTGGTCAGAATGCCACCCTTACAGACAGATTGTTGGTATCAGGCAGCTAGTTCTTTGAAGTGGCACTGATGCCAGGACTATGCAAGTACCATCGAATTAGAGGTCGATCAACCGCAGCTCTAAGAACTCCTAGCAATCTCTGAAGGAACCCTGGTTGAGAATGCCCGGCCTGGACAACCATGGTTTTATAAAATGCACATCATTGTTTGTTCATTAAATAATTTTGTATTTGATTAGACAGCTTAAAGCCAATTTTCACCCCACCCCCCATATTTTGTTTTTTAAACCCCTGCTGGTGGTGTGTTCAGCACATTTCAGATAATCACCCACCCAACAGATCCAGAGTTGTCCAGCTGAGGTCCTCTTCTCTTCTGGCAGCGCTTGGTCCTGTGCCACCATGTTTTGCTCTGACATCAATGATAGGCTGACAGCTGTTCCAGGTTTAGCCCGCATGCCTTCCAATGACACGTCAATAGGCTTGCCCTCTCCTCCATTCCTGAATGAAAGGCTATTACTCAAATATTCCAAGAAGAAAGGGAGCACAGTGCATGTCATTCACTTAGGCAAATGATATGCAAGGGGGATGGGACTGGACAAATGCTTAAAAAAAATGTATGAGGACTGGAGGAGGGGTGGAACAGAGGGATAACATTTTGGTGGGTGAAGATCTTCTTTAAAGTTTGCATGTGTAAGATTTCCCCATGTGTTGTCTATTTAAAACATTTAAATATTGTAAATAAAGAAAAATACCTGCTAACCCTGCTAGAGATCCATTGACCTTCCTGTAGTGAACTAACAAAGCTGCCTCTGCTGCACTGAAATCCCAAGCAGTGTTGTCAGCCCTGCCTGCATTCTCCCTGCTGCACTGCAGAAATAAATAGGAGCATGTAGTCCAGCATAGTATAGGAGAGTACAGCTGGCTATGGCCCCTGGGCTGAATGAGAGAGACCCATAGATTAGGATAGGAATATCCCACTGCCAGCTACTGTATTCTAACAGCCAACATCTAGCCAATACCTGAACAGTGACTGCCTCAGATTTGTCTGCAGTCACTATTTAGCTGACTTTCTCCTTTAAATGTTATCCAATTCCCAGGAATCCCTTGAAGTTCAGCCTGCTTTAGCATATAAAGTATGAAAGTCACATCACAGACTACTGTTGTAAAGTTACTCTTCAATTTTAACCCGTCCACCTCATTAGCATAGACCTGATGTCTTATACTCACCCACCCATGCTGTACAGCCCCAGAGGAGCTGCACATCCGCCACTGCAAGCTCTCCTGACTGGTTCCTTCCTTTTTCTGTGCACACATTGACAAAGTCCTATTCCTTCTTTTGGAGAAGTTATCTATCGTCTTTGGGATACATGATCCCATTGGGAACAAAGTTCCATTCCGTCTTATGGAGAAGTTATCTATCGATGGGATACAAGATCCCATTGGGAACAAGGTCCCTTTCCTTCTTATGGAGATGTTATCTATCGTTTGGGATACATGATCCCACTGGGAACAAAGTCCATTTCCTTCTTATGGAGAAGTTATCTATCGTTGGGATACATGATCCCATTGAGAAGAAAGTCCCAGTCCTTCTTATGGAGAAATTATCTATCGTTGGGATACATGATCCCAAGGGGAACAAAGTCCCATTCCTTCTTATGGAGAAGAGATCTTTTGTTGGGATACATGATCCCACTGGAAACAAAGTCCAACTCCTTCTTATGGAGATGTTATCTATCGTTGGGATACATGATCCCATTGGGAACTAAGTCCCATTCCTTCTTATGGAGAAGTTATCTTTCGTTGGGATACATGATCCCATTGAGAACTAAGTCCCATTCCTTCTTATGGAGAAGTTTTCTATCGTTGGGATATATAAATCCCCATTAGGAACAAAGTCCACTTCCTTCTTATGGAGATGTTATCTATCACTGGGATACATGATCCCACTGGGAACAAAGTCCCATTCCTGCTTATGGAGATGTTATCTATCGTTGCGATACATGATCCCATTGGGAACTAAGTCCCATTCCTTCTTATGGAGAAGTTATCTTTCGTTGGGATACATAATCCCATTAGGAACAAAGTCCTATTCCTTCTTATGGAGAAGAAAAAATACAATATAGTTTACTTTTAAAACACCATGGAAAAATTCCATATTTTGGGAAATCTTTAGTGTTCCAAAAAAATAAGATCCCAGTGCCATCCACCTAGCTTTTGTTAGGTTTCATATGATACATAGTAACCTGTATAGGACATATGTTCCTGTATGAGTCTCTACTATTTCGGTGACAGCGCTCACAGCAGGGGAAGAATTTATTAAGCTCACTCAGCAGGTAATGGGGTTGTTCTCCACTCTATATGCGCCATCAACTGTAAATTACCGCTGAACTTTTCTCCTAATTGCACATCATTTTGATGGATTGTGCTCTGTACATATAGAATGTTCACACTTTCCACTTTACCATTATACAGGACAAATATGGACGGAGAGAGAAAAGCTGCTGATTGCCATTGCCTGGGATATAAATCATGTCAGTGTGTCATACAGCCTGTAAGAGACGACGATGATTCCTATATCCTGTGGATGGAAATTGTCACTTCTGTCAATGCTGTGCTCTCCCCGCCAATGTCTATGGAAGCTTCTGCTATTAGTAAGTGACATTTCTATTGAATACATCATATATTTTGAATTGGTATTACAGAAGAGACCTGGGTTTAGAGCGCATTGATTTTCAAACTGTACCTCTGACATAGGCTGTGAAAAACACAAAGCAAAAGGCACCAAACTAATTTGTAGATCCAAATGTAATATTTCATTTATTAGTCAAAGAAGATGTATAAAATACCCAACATGTTACAGGTTTTACTCAGGTGCCTCTTCTTCAGGGATGTGAAAGATCGCAATAAACTAATATAATTAGTAAGATTATGTATCCAAATGGAAATAATTATATAGATAAAAAACATATAAAACACAAAAAAGACCCGGACGAAATACAATTTATATAAAGTTAGGATAAAAAAATAAAATTTTTCTATAAAATAATAAAGTGTGGCAACCCGATTTAAAACCAGGCTGTTGATTTGCCATCTTATACATCAGAAAAATCTTACAGTGCTTGTAAATCTCAGACATGAAATCGAAACAAAGCATATTCCTCTATAGTGTGTACTTGTCTCAATCCAGAGCACTAAGAATTATTTCTGTCTGCTCCTTCGTTCCACTGCTATTAGCATGAGTCACTTCTGACAAGTTTTCCTGACACCAAGAGAAAAATGGTGACAAGGAGGGACCTCCAACAGATTGATAGCCTCAGCTCTGTTCCTGTGAGCTGTGTGACGGGGGGGGGGGAAGTCTCTCCCTCCAATCAGCCCTCAGAGCTCTCCTCACTGAGCTCTGCAGAGTGTAACTTCAGCTCCCCACCCCCTTTTTTCTGAACTCAGACAAGCTGTAAAAATTCAAAACTTTGAATGGATGTAGAGAAGAGAAGACTGCAGATAAACAGGTACAACTTATGTAAGATGATTTGTTTCATCTCTGGGTATCACCTAAGGTCAGTCACTTCACTGGGTATTTGTAAGGTTTTTACAACCACTTTAACCTCCCTAACGGTATTCCCGAGTGTAGCTCGGGGTAAAATGTCTGTACCAAAAGCGGTAACCCCGAGCTACACTCGGGCTTACCATGCGGCGCTGCATAGGGAGTCCCTGCAGCACTTACCTTGTCCTTCGCTCCCGCGATGTGTCCCCTGCAGCGTCCCGGCCATCTCTCCTCCGGCTGATGCCGGCATCCGGCTCCTGTGTTCCGGTCCCTGTGACGTCAGGACTTACGGGGGCGGCGGCGGGAAATTTGAAAATTGTCATTTTTTTCAAAACGATTTTACATAGTAAAACATTGCTGTTTCAACCCATTTCACATACATTTTGTCCCTACTGCTTTGTCCTGTCCCCTGTCTGCATTTTGAATGTTCTTTTTGCCTGGAAACTTAGAAAAGTCCATGGCGTCCAAAAAGCGTCCCTTTAGGTCAAAAGCGGTTTTAGACCGGCTAGAGAACAGCGATAGTAAATCAGAACCACTTGCAGAATTGAGTGATAATGATTCGTGGGGGAAATTCGTCATCAGGCACTGAAAACGATTTTACGACTTTGCTCAGTGATGTGCGAACTTGGCGCTATATTTCACATTTCAGTGTTTTTTTGGTTTGATTACATTATTGAATTAAATGTATTATTATTATATTATTATTTTATGATTATTTATTAAATTATAATTTATGATTTTGTGTTTCAAATTTTATCATCCCCAGGATGTTTACTAGACTCTTGTTCAGACAGATTTCAGTGAGTTATCCTAAAAATTACAGCCTACAATAAAACAAAACTACATATTTCCATGCAAAAAAATGGTACCGCTTTCAGCACCAAAAATTGGAAATAATCATACCGCTAGGGAGGTTAAAGCTGAATTCCAGGTATGGATATTTTTACAGAGGTACATTGGTCCAGCTTGGATTAATGTAAGTATGCATATACCATACCCGGTCAATCCCTGTGTAAGTGATGAATCACTGTAGTGTCCACTACTTTCACAATGATCCTTTTTGTCTTCCATGTCCCATGCACAGGCACTATTTAGAGAATGCCTTGCATTTTCTAAATAAATGCAAAATGTTCTCTGAGCGGATGAGG